GTCTCCAAATTATATTTGGTTTGATTAAATCATTTTATACACTCTTTGTTCCACCAGAGTCCCAGTCCTTGAAGGCCTGTGACTTTGTGGACCATCGTACTCCACCACAGTTGTCGGAAGGCCAGATCTGTGAGATGATTTCTCAGAGTCACTCAGATAAGAGAGTGGCAAAGTTTTAACAATACTACAGGGCTTTGTGGAGTATAAACACTGGCCAGCCAGCGTGGCTCAGAGGTTGAGCATCAACCTCTGAACCAGAATGTCATGGTTCGATTCCCGGTCAAGGGCATGTGCCTGGGTAGGGGGCTCGATGTCCAGTACGGGGCATTCAGGAGGCCACCCATCAATGATTCTCTCTCATCATGGATGTTTCTATCTCTTCCTCCCTCTACTTTCCTCTCTGCATGGTTCGATTCCCGGTCAAGGGCATGTGCCTGGGTAGGGGGCTCGATGTCCAGTACGGGGCATTCAGGAGGCCACCCATCAATGATTCTCTCTCATCATGGATGTTTCTATCTCTCCCTCCCTCTACTTTCCTCTCTGAAAAAAAACAAAACAAACACTGGTGGTTGACTCCTCGTCTTTGCCCAATTCTGAGTCACTTCAAAGTAGTGAAAATGTACTAGTAGTTATCAGAAATTCTATCCCATCTAGTGAAATAAAATAAGAACTTGCTTGATTTATGGTTTAGCATATTGTTGTCTGGCTTAGACTATATACAGAGATCCAAATATTAGGAACAGGAATATATCTGTTATTTTGTTCAATGTGATTTGTATTTTTAACTAACAAAAATGCGTAGTACTAAGAAATCTTGCATTTTAAAATTACAGACTGTCAGAAACTTGGCTGTCTGAAGTCACCTCTGTACGAGCCCACCATTTCCTGACCAGGATCTTAGTCGCCTTAACACAGAGAAACAGCCTTCGTATCCCACCCAGAGGCAGAGTTTCAGGTAAGAGACCTTCAGACATGATACATTCGCATTTATCTTAGCTACACAGTATCTGAAGGAAGTATCTGAGTCCTTTTCACAGGCCAGTCCTGATGAAAGGACTGGCCTGTGAATTTGTGCTAATTCTTTTGCACAAAGCCCTATTCTGCTTTGAGCCGAGCAAAACACCATTTCATGTAATTTCACCTACATCCACAATTTCTCAGAATCCTACAGAAAACTTTCCTCTTCTTTTGCTCAGTGGTCCTATACTGTGTGATTTCCTTCACTATAGCACATTAATGGGCCTAAGTTTATGGGACAAGACATGTATTTCTGGTCTTCATCACAGGGGCTTTTTGTGTCATATCATTCAAATTACAGGTTCTGCAAGAACATAATTGCCAGACTGGGAGCAAGTAAATGTTAACTGTAGTGGTGATCAATTGTAGGATATTTTGTGGTTGGATTGAAAAAGAATGTAGTGTTGATGATTTTTTGTGATGCTCACCCGTGCCCTCATCCTAATAGTTTCCTAAGCTGTGTTTCGGTAGGAACTAGTTGTGGGGCCACTGGATGTTAGGACACTTTTAAAATTATGAAAACAGAATATGCATTCCCTGTCCTTCAAAGTGACCTTTAAAATATCCTCCAATCATAAGAGTTAGAAATAGGGATGGGGAAGATTAACGGGAAGGGATGGGAGGAAAATGGGGAAGACAAAGAAGGATTCAGATCCTTCCTCCACCACCAAGCAGTTGTGTGACTTAGAGCAAGTGCTTACACCCTGCCAGCCCCAGTTTCCTCATCTGTGAAATGGCAAGAATTCACAGGCCAGGTTTATCATAAAATCTACACAAACATGAAAGACGGAAGAGATGGCTATCATTCATTGAGAAGAGAAAATATTTTAGTTGGAAAAAACAGAAAACTCTAGATGATCAGGGAAATGGTGGGATTCATTTCTGGAATTTAAGGAAGAAATATATCTTCTAAGTGGCTTAGATATTCATCTGCCTAAAGCCAGGGAAAATGAAACCAGGTCATCTTTTGGCGTCTCTTATAGTTTGGGGTTGTTTGATTCCTTTGGATGCCTCAGGGTGAGAGGAAAGTCTGTCTGATGCATATATTTTCCCCCGGCTCGTTTTCGCTCCCAATGCTAAACCCCTATTTGCAAATCCTGTAATTTAGGACTCTTTCCTGTGGACTTGTAGGTCAGCTTTTAAAGAGCCCTTTCATTGCAAGACAGTCTTGATTTGATGATGAAGTTTTTGGCCTTCTCTATTATATTTATTAGGAAATTTATTTCTGCCAGTGGGTGTGGACTATCCTGGAAAGAAAAAAGCCTTCCATGAATACTTTCCCACTCTCCATGACATGATATATAATAAATATCACATATTTTGAGCCCATATGATATAGTGATGCTCATATGTGCAACAAGGAATATAAATGAACTAGAGGCCTGGTGCACAAATTCATGCACCAGTGGGGTCCCTTGGCCTGGCCTGCGGGATCAGGCCGAAACTGGCTCTCCGACATTCTTCAAGGGGTCCTGGATTGCGAGAGGGCGCAGGCCAGGCTGAGGGACCCCACCGGTGCACAATCGAGGCCAGGGAGAGACATGGGAGGTTGGCCAGCCAGGGAGGGACCGTGGGAGGGCTCCAGGGCATTTCGCTCAGTCCCAATCGGCCGGACCCCAGCAGCAAGCTAACCTACTGGTTGGAGCGTCTGCCCCCTGGTGGTCAGTGCACATCATTGCGAGCGGTTGAGTGGCCTTAGCATATCATTAGCATATTACTCTTTGATTGGTTGAAGGGCCTACCAGTCAACCAGACACTTAGCATATTAGGCTTTTACTATTTTTGACTTCCCCAGCAATCTACATTGATTAGCATTAATTTTCCTGTTTTGCAGATGAGGAAACCTGAGGGTGGGAAGAGTTAAGTTATGCCGATGCTGAAGTGTTTGCTTTAAGTAAATATCTACCTTTTAGAATTCTTGTCATAAAGATAATTCCCTTCTAATTTAGTTTGATTCAACAAAGAGATTCTATTCTAAACATTGAACTCAGTGCTGGGAGCCAAAATGAATAAACTGGGTTTTTTCTTGGAGGAAGAGAAGTAGATAATCTCAATGCAATGCCTTATGGGGCGGGAGATAAGCATGGGATCACAGAATGCTATTGGCATATGTTAGGGCACCTAACCGATTCTATTCTAAACATTGAACTCAGTGCTGGGAGCCAGAATGAATAAACTGTTTTTTTTTTTTTCTTGGAGGAAGAGAAGTAGATATTCTCAATGCAATGCCTTATGGAGAGGGAGATAAGCATGGGATCACAGGATGGCATATGTTAGGGCACCTAACCTAGCGTGGTGTGTGTGTGTGTGTGTGTGTGTTTGTATGTGGTAGAGGGGTTAGGAGAAGACTGAGTTGAACTTGGAAATGGATCAGAGTTAGGTAAGTGAAGAAGGTGGAGGGGAGAGGAAGGTGAAAAATGAAAGAACATGATAAAAGCAAAGACAAATAGAACTGCATGGCATGTGTCAGTTACTGTGAGAAATTTAGTGTTGCTTAGTGAAATTTAGTGAGGAGTGTTAAGACATGAACCGTGAGACAGGGACAAAGGACAGGCTTGGAGGGCCTGGTGTGCATAGATTTCCTACCAATGTGAGCAGCCCGAGGACTAGCCTGGCCATCCTGTACCACTGCTCAAGACTCATACCAGGATTCCTAGCACCTCTCTCTCTTTCCCTCTCCTGTCTGTCTCTTTTTCCTTCTTCCTCTTCACTCTCCTTCCTGTTCCTCGTCTGCTCATCTGTGCACACTAATAAATGAATCAGGTAGCTGTGAGGTTTACAGGAAAAATTAGTTTATTGAAAACAAGTGAGCAGCACATTACAAACGATGCTGGGAGGCTTTGAGCAGCCCCCAGAGTTCAGGATGGGTTTGCCAAGTCCACTCCAGGGACTTGTAAAGGTGGGCTTGCCATCCATGGTGACTTCTGCTGATGGGGACACTGGGAATTTGGCTGAGAGTGGAGATAGAGATCTGCTCATGTGTCCAAACGGTAGGATATAAAAATGACAATTGTCACTTTATGGAAAAATCTGTTTTTCTTTCAATTTGATTAAAATGCAGAATAGGTGCTTAGGCTTCAGTGTATTGATCTGTGGGGACCATGGAGTTTCACCAGCAGCAGCTAGGGCATGTCCTGCAGGTGGTGCGGCAGGGGGGCCTGTGGGCTGGGGGCAGCTCCTGCATTGAGAGTCTGCTCCCTGGTGGTCAGTACGCGTCATAGCAACCCGGCGTCACAGCGACCAGGCGTTCTGCCGTTCAGTTAATTTGCATATTAGGCTTTTATTATATAGGATTAAAATTATATTAGTCAGAATTTATTTAATCTCTCATTGCTCCTCAGCTTCAAAACCAGATGATTGGCCAGGTGTCACCTAAGATTCCTTTTACCTCTAAGGTACTGGGCTTTCTATGCTGTGCTAACAGGTGCCAGGTCAGTGAAAGAACCTTCGGACTGGGACTCCATATGTCAGACAAGAGCAGCCTCCTTACTGATCATTCGGAAGGTGTTTTGTGTGTCTGAATAATGAGCACAAGTAACTCTATACGTGATGAAAATATAGCCATGTCCACCTTCCTCATCAGCTCCTGGGCCTTATAAATGCCGTTTACAGGGATAACAAGGAAACTAAGCAGACGTAGATTATTGCATAAAACAATGTAAGAGGCTTATTTGGCATCTTGTTTTGAAGTTCACTGGTCAAAACAGAGAGACAGAAATCCACTGAAAGGAAATATCACAAAGACCATGATTCCTATGCTGTGAGCACAAGGTTTATTAGAAAACAGACACCATGATTTGGAGCTAGACCAGGATCTTGAGAAGACAGGGTGCTCTTCTTTGGTAGTTAGCCTGGAAAGGTGTCCCCAGTGTCTCTATGAGAAATGGTCTTCTCAAGAAAAGCCACGTTGATCTGCAGTGAAGGTAAGGGACAGCAGGATGGACCCGGCCATCTACTGACAGGCCTTAGGGATGATGCACTGCTCAGCAGCAGGAGGGGCAGGTCCTGCAGGTGGTGCGGCAGGGGGCAGGCTGGCAGCAGGGGGGCCGGCAGCAGGGCGCCTGCACACAGATGGGCTGGCAGCAGGTGGAGGCCCAGCAGCAGGGGCGGCAGACAATAGCCGTGCAGGATGTGGGGCAGCAGGCAATGGGGCGGCAGCAGCCCTCCTGCAGGCCACAGGGGTCACAGCAGATGGGGCGGCGGCAGGGCTCGCAGATGGGGCGTGTGCAGCGGGTCACACAGGTCACAGGGCGGCACACGGTGGTCTGGCAGCAGCAGGGGCGGCAGCAGCAGGGGTCTCGGCAGCAGCAGGGCTGGCAGCAGCAGGGCTGGCAGCAGCCTCCCCCACAGCCGGAGCAGGTGGAGCCACAGCAGGAGCTGGTCATGGTGGTGTCTGGGGCTGGGCTGGATTGGATTGGTGAGAGGAGTTGGGTGTTCTCAGGTGTGAATGTCTTCCTCCCCTGCGGGGTCCTTTATATACCCTGGCCTGGTGCAGATGACCCCCAGCCACAGGGTCACGTGCTGGTTAATTTCCTGGCCAATTAAGTGAGGATTTAGCATTGACTAATGGTGCTTTTGGTTACCCTCGCCTCATACCTGTACACGCACCCATACCACAAATGTTTTTCCTTTTTCTGTATTGTTTATTCTCACCAAATCTAGACATTGGATTAGATTCTGATGAATTTCCTTGCAAATATTTCTAAATGAAAGAGAAAAGAATGTGTTTTCTAAACCAGTATAGTTTCTAATCACTCTGCCCTGTGGCCCTAAAGTTAGTATTTTATTCATGGACTTCAAAGACTCTCATAATTACTCCCCAAACAGTGACTTGCCTTCTCTACACGCATGCACATGACAGTACCAGGTTAATAGCAGCACCCCAGTGCCGACCGACAGTCATCTGCTTCCCAGATGTCTCTTCCCACCACTCACTGAAAGGCAGGTTTTCTCAGGAGGAGGGACCACATGGCACCCTGGATCTCTGCCACCCTGGTTCAGTAACTCCTCCCACCCTGGGCTGTCCTACCGTGATTGTAATGCCTCCACATTCACCTGGAATGTTGTTCTCATCCTTCCAACCCCAAATCAACATCTAGCTTGATTGCAAAACCCTCACCGAGGATCTGTTGCAGTTTGTGTGTTTGTCATTTATTTGGGATTACTCATTGCATGTGTGCAATCCAGGAAGGGCCTGTGGAGGATGTGTAGGCCTATCCCCTCATTTTACAGGAGGGGTTATGGTCACACAGTTAGGTCCGGGATCCAGGTCTTCTCATTCCTCAGAGAGCAGCCTCCATGAGATTTATGTTGACCAGGCTCCACCCGAGTCTTGGGATGGAAGAGAGACCGACTCAAGCCTTGACGTAAGTAGTGTCATTAAAAGTGATAAGGGAAGATTATTAGGGAAATGCTTTACCCCATGACAGCTGGTCAGACCTGTGCATGAGCACAGAGGTTTCTCTCTGAGGATCAGCAGAGCTGGACTGTGGGGTGCGGGGTGGGGGCCGCTTCTTTTCTGTGCGTCAGTCTGGTTTCCCTTGGGAACTCGTCATGGCACGGTGAGATAGGCATGTGCTTGTCTCATTCCTTCTATTGTTATTTATCTGTACCTTCACCCTATATCTTACCTTTATAATGAGTGCCATAAATTTACTTCTTACCAGTGAAGTAGATCAACATGTTTATTTGGATTTGAATTAAAAAAAAAAAAAGAAAGAAATCTGTCCAGTCAATCCCACTTACTCTAAGTGAAAAAAGGAGGGCCAAGAGCTTGCAGACCACCAAGCCAATGCTTTTTAATAGTCGTTTGTCCTAAAATTACCTTCTCTGCTTCAAGGGGAAAGCTTTTTATTCTTGTCATGGGTAATTAGTTCTATTTTTGCTTTGATGATATTCTGGAAGATATAGATGTGAATTATACCAAGTTCATTCTCTGTATTCCTTATGCCAAGATTTTCTCTTGGCTTCTTTATAACATTCGTTGATTTTTTTTACTGTACAGATTAAATAATTCTCTGAGGTAATGTGGCTAGAATTACATGCAATATTCTAGGCGAAGTCATATTTATAATCTGGTATGAGGATAATATTTTCTGATTTGTTTACAAATAGCCTTTTTATTTAAGACCAACATTCTATGGCCATTTTTGGCCTCAGCCAAAACAGTCCTTTGAACCGATATCAAATAGCATAGTTTTATAAGGTATTTTCTTTTATTTTCTAACCAGGCTCTTACTGGAAGCTTACACCCATTTTCCTCTAAGTACAGTTTATTATAGTACTATAATGTTTTGTTTGCTGATATTGGATGTCAGCTTCCATTTTTCTTCCCACTGTGTAAGAACTTTAAGTTATGATTAGGGAGTATTTGGTATGTTCCAGGGACTGTGGTAGGTATCCTTACCTACCTTGTCAATCATCATAACAATCGAGTTAGGTATTATTACCTTCACTTTATAGATGAAGAATCTGAAACTTATAGAGGTTAACTAATTTGCCCAAAGTTATACAGCTCAAAGTCTGGATTCAACTTAAGCATTTACAACTCTTAAGCCTGTGTTTTAACAAATATGCTTGCAAAAATGCATGGGATTGCCCTTCAGTATAACATAGTATTTCACTTTGTATTATTCATAAAAATGTAATTTTATCTATAAGCCCAGAAATTTATTAATCCATGTCCTTCAGAAAGTTTATTAAAATAAAACCAACCCTGGCACAAACACTTGGGCACTCCTTTATTTTTATCTTCTTTATAGAAAACTATCTGCTTAATCTTTTCATACTGATTGATTATTAAGCTAGTTTCTCATTGCCACCATAGTTGCATTAGTCAGCTGTTGCTGCATAACAAGCAACCACAAAATCTCAGAGTATACACTAACAAGTATTTATTTCTTAGTCATGTGTCTGCAAGTCAGTTGGGTTTTGGCTGTTTAAGGCTGGCCTTGCCTTTTGGCTATGGGTTGGTTTTGAACTTTTTTCCGAGTTAGAGTTGCCAGATTTAGCAAATAAAAATACAGGTAACTCAGTTAAATTCTGATTTTAAATAAACAACAAATACTTTTTTAGTAACAGACATGTAAGTATTCATTGTTTATCTGAAATTCCACTTCTGTGAGCTGTGTCCTGTATTTTCACTGACAACCCTACTCCCTACAGCACCAGCACCAGGGAGCAATCCCAGTCATGCCAATATATTTCAGGTCTTTGCTTGGGTCATGTCCTCTAACATCCCATTGGCCAAAGCAAGTGACTTGGTGAAGTTCAAACCATGGGGTAGGGGGTGGGAGAGGCTACTACTCCTTCCAGGGGGTGTGAGGGGAAAAGAGGAAATATTAATGAAGAATGATATAATCTACCAGAGCAGTGAATTAGTTAATTTAATAATCTTTGTTGTGGAGGTTGGATACAGCCTCCTAGAAAATCAAGTTAGATTATGTTTACTAGGTCTCCATTTACGAGGTTACTTTTATTCATTGTCTTCTTCTTTCTGGTCAGCCAAGAAATGTCATCAATTAAACAAAGACTGCCTGATTTCTCTATAAGAAATTCATGTTGTCAGTCTCCTGTTAGTTTATATTTGATTAGATGTCGAAAAGAGAAACACCAATTTTATGAAAATGTCTTTTGAGTTAATCAAATATTTAATTAGAAATTATATTTCATTGCCTAATGTAAGTACCACTTATTCCAATGACTAACAGGTGAAATTTTCTTTTGGGAAAAATTAATGAAGGACTTCAGTAACACAGATACTAATCAAGTATGAAATCCCCTTCTGAAAACCTATATATGGAGATTCTGGATATAAGTTTTAAAGTAATAAATTTCTGAGCTTAAAGGAAAGAAAATAAAAATCCCCAGGTGCCAGAATGAAGAAGGAACTTAAGATCAGACTGTTCCATCTGGGATCTGGTGCTGCAATTTTCTTAGGATATGAGCCAATGACTCCGGGCCAGGGTTTTAACTTCCTCCCGGGGCCAAAAGCCTTTACTTGGGGACCATGAAAACCTGAGACTCTGGAGGGATCTCTCATCTGACATAGGAGAACTGGAAAATCTCAATAAGAGAAGCCCAGTTCATCTTGTTCTTTGGTGAATGTCAATTGAAGAAATAACAATTCTATATTCAGAATTGAAAGCTTACAATTTAAGTGAGTTTGGATTCCAGTTTTAGACTTCTCTGTGGTGTGGGAATCCCAAGCTGAGGAAATTATTTGTCTCATGCCAGAGAAACCCCTGGGACTCCCAGCAGTAGCAAACTCAAAACCATCATGAGGATGGAGGTCCATTTCCCTGCGTGATACGTCATTTTTTTAAATCATGAGTTAATATTCTTCAGGAATTGTTTGTATTATAAGAATTTCATTTTCCTTGGATGTGGAAGTGCCCTTATGCTTTTATTTTTTATAAATCAACCAATTATCAGTCTTATGTCTGAATAGTGCGACTTCTGCTCTTCTTAGTTTGTTTGGTGTTATGGTGACAAATCTGACTTTTCTCTACTTCTTCATCCATGTGATTGCCTACCCTTTTGCCCCCGAACCTCTGTGGTTCATTTGGATGACAGTGAAATAGTGGCTCCCCAAGCCTTTGCATGGCATTCCTTGATCAGATCACTTGGTTGGGGGAGGAGATGGAGGACACTGGACAGTAATTATTCCTTTAACCCAAAGTAAAGATCATCTTTGGCAGGTGACCCAAATGTAGTATGTCTTCCTAAATTAAAGATATGTTCTGAATTCTCTGTCTTTTGAGAATCACAACTCTACCTCTGGGTCTCTTTTAGCTTCTACTGCAAAATTTCAATAGTCTTAATTTGTTTATAAAAAAAGAAGCAAAAAAGATGGTACTATCTTATCTGCCTCTTGACATTTTTACTTTTTTTTTTTTTTTTTTACCATATCATATCTCTGGTGTGTAGGGGCTACACCGTCTCTGTCATTACAATGTGTTGATAAGAAATTCTCCCAACCCAGGAGTAGCTGATGTCAGCTGGGGTTGTTTTGCAGTCTGGAAGTTCTCATTTTCCCTATTTCTTTGTTTTACATATAAAGAGCTGTCATTACCTGTAGCCCCATCTCTGCCAATAATTGTAGCTAAAATTTGCTGATTGTAATGCATACACACGAGGATCCAACATTCCTGCATAAACGCTTTTACTTAGCATTCGGATGAATGTACGATAGGGAGAAAGGGATCCTCAGGACTGACATTGGCTTGGCGGGACTTCCCCACGCGGGCCAGCAGTGTCTTGTAGCTCTTTCCATCAGGAGTTAGATTCTACTTCTCTACTCTTTGCGTCTGGTTTGGCCTTGTGTAATCCATCATTACACAACGTGGTGGACGAGTTGTGTAAGTTCTGGAATTTAAGCCTCAAGAACCTTTGAAACTTCAAAGTGATTTCAACATGGGTTGTTCTTTCCATATCTGCCTAGTTACTGAGTAAAATGACCATAAAAACAATAGGGAACAATGCCAATGACTTCTTATGTGCCAAAAAAGTTTATTAGAAAGCAGAGAAACAACAAAACATGAGAAATTCACTCTAGGAGAATATACAGGGTATAAATGGACCCCAGGTCTGAGAGTGTCAAATCAGTGTCACTCATGGGTTGCAGATGAGGCCCGCCTTGCTGGAAGGATAATCTAGAGCCCCCAAAGAAAGATAAGAATGAGAAATTTGGAGGATTGGGATAATTTCCTATCTGGTGGATTACAAATTAATACAGAGTTGGTCGAAATCAAAAGGAAATGATAGCAAGGGAGAGAGTTTTAAATGAACCAGAATGTGCTCACAAAGGCATTGGGGCGGTGGTGAGCTCATTGGATATGAAACCCAGCCCAGTGGGTGACATCAGCCAGATCCCATGTGTCCTAAGGGCCATCACAAGAAGCCTATACCCCTGTGCGGACAGACGTACATGGAGATGACGGTTACAGAGAAGGGGGCTCAGCAGTCAGGGACGGCACAGCACATGGGGCGGGGGCAGGTGGAGATGACACAGGTGGGGCGATAGCAATTGGTGCAGCAGGAGACCTGGCCACAGACTGGGCGGAGGCAGCAGCAGGGGCAGCAGCAGGGCCGGCAGCAGCTGGAGCCACAGCAGCTGGAGCCACAGCAGGAGGGGCGGCAGCAGCTAGAAATGCAGCAGCTGGGGCGGCAGCAGCAGGAACCACAGCAGCTGGGGCGGCAGCAGGTGGTCTGGCAGCAGCCTTGGCCACAGCCCTGGTCAGAGCAGATGGAGCCACAACAGGACATGGTGTTGGAGGATGGAGGTTCTGGGTGAGTTTCCAGGAGAGTGAGGTTCGTGTGTTTGGGGGTCTCCTTGGCCCACACCTCCTTTTATACCCTGCTGAAGAGCTGCTCTCACTATGTCATTATTTCCTTATTTTTATTTACCCCACTAGAAAGCTTAATTATTTAATTTCATAATTGTGTGTTTCTGGTGAAGTACTCAAAAAATGGAAGAAATAGCACACTTCCCTTTTCTGGTAAGTTTCTGTGTTCCAATTAAAAGACTTGTCACATTTTTTTCTTAATGGGTGTCACCTTTGTTTCTGACCGATGCAGTGACTTTTACAAGGCACTTGTCACATGACTCTGACATTTTGTTTTTGAATGGGACATTTCCTCCTATCTGTACTGCTCCATGAAAATCATGGAGAATGGTTCTTACAATGCTAATCTATCTTTTGTCGGCAAAGATGAGGGGAACGCGTGCTGGTCAGGGGAATAAGAACAATCTATAAGGAGGATAACTGATTCTGTGTGGGCATCTTGAAGGGTCAGGGAAATAGCTGGACCCTAAGGAAGTTTCAAATTCTGTGTCTGACTTTATTTCACTGTTTCAAGCTGAGGTACTTAGCATTGGGTCTGTTGTATGTTTTTCACGATAGGCATTGACGGTGGGAAATTTTTTATTTATCTTTTGATTGTTAAACCTTCAAAATGGGTATTTTATTACAGAAGCATTTGTTGTATAAACAATATTTGCAATTATCAGGCCTTCAGTACCATGTTTCTATGACAAAACCGAGGCTCTCTTACTCTGGGCACATCATGAGAAGGCAGGCTTCTTTGGGAAAGACAGAAATGCTGGGGAAATAGAAGGCTTCAGGGAAAGAGGAAGAAAATATGAGATGGATTGACTCCATAAAAGAAACCGTAGGAATGAGTCTATAGGAGCTGAGCAGGCCTATTGAGGACAGGACACTGTGGACGTCACTCATTCATAGGGTCGCCAGGGGTCAGAGCTGACTCAACAGCATGGAACACACACACATACCCAAGACATTCTGTTGGGTACAATGGGGGCATGATGAAAACCCCTCATAATCTTTCCTGTATAAGAATAAGACATGTATGGGGAACAGAGTTTGGCATCAATTAAAATAATGGGACTTATTTTAATTAAGTAATTAAAATAAAAATACAGTATCTGTGTAAGTAAAGGTGGAGGGAATATTAACATCTCTCATTTGTGAAGTATTCACTCTGTACTAGGCATAAAGCAGCAGTCGGCAACCGGTGGTCCGCGGGCCACTGGTGGTCTGTCAGGTCCAAAAGGTTGGCGACCGCTGATATAAAGTACTGTGTAGTCATGTTACTCTCTTAGTGGAATAGGCAAAAGAAACACAGAGAAAGTACGAGAAAAAAAACTTGTGTAAGCCCAGCCGGCGTGGCTCAGTGGTTGAGCGTCAACCTATGAACCAAGAGGTCACGGTTCCCGGTCAGAGTATATGCCTGGGTTTCGGACTCAGTCCCCATAGGGGAGCATGCAGGAGGCAGCTGGTCAATGATTCTCTCTCATCACTGATGTTTCTATCTCTCTCTCCCTCTCCCTCCCTCTCTGAATTCAATTAAAAAAACAAAACACAAAACTCTGTAAGATTAAACAGAAAGTAAGCTTGTCTTAATCTCAGGGCAGCTGAGGAAGGTGCCAAGAGTAACACTTCCAAGCCTTTGCTGAAGCTGACTCATCCTCCCGGAATGTTTCTTCTTTCTTGTCAGCTCTTCGGACTCCCATCATCTGCCAGAAAGCCAGCTGACAGTGCCTCCTCCTCAATGATACCCTTTTTGAAAAACTACCCCATGCACATGTGGTTGTTCCCTGCATTGTGCCCCTAATTTAGCGCTCTATCAGTTTTTACTTCCGTCTCTCCCCCAGTTGCAATGCGGACGCCCTGATGATATGAGCGATAACATTTACTTTGTCCCATCATGTTCCAAACAGGGCTGGGGCAGAGGACACTAGTGACCAATGTCTGTTGAGTAAACGAAGGCTTTTGATGGCATAGGAGCATGTAATGGTCCTCTTAAAATATGTAACTTTTGACTAATGGAGAAAAAAGGGAGAAATATTCCAAAGGGATCATAGTTACACTCAAGGAAAGTCACATTTATTTATTTATTATGTATTTTTTAGCTGCATTTTATTGGTGAATAAAGAACCCCGAAAGATGGTGTTTTAAAAGATCATGTTTTATATTCAATCTTTGTAAAAGACTTGTTTTTAATTTTTAATACATTCAATCTTTGTAAAACTTTCTTACTATAGTCATGGGTGCACCATGACTTCAGTTGCATTTTCTCCCCTAAAGACCAGAAAATGATTAGTTGACTTGCCTAAGACTAAAAAGGTCTCTAGAGAAAACTGGTGACCAATGACATTTGACCTCTGTTGGAGGTTGACTAGTCTCTGCTGTCTGTCCAACAGGTACAGGCAAACTACAATTACCCAGGACCCACATATAAAACCTTTAAAAAAAGAGACTAAAATCACATTTAATTTTCAGTGCCCAGAACAAAGAGGTTTATTTCGGTATAAGAAAATCTTTGCAAAGGAGTACAAGAAAAAGGGTTCACTGGACTTCCATGTCAGAGGACTTAGAATCTGTGGCCCCACAAGTGATGGAGACAATCTTCAAATTCCTTAAGCACGAAGAATGGATGTCTTGGAGATAAAGGGAGAGTTGTTGGGGGAACTTAATTTATTAGAAGGTTCTGAAGGAAGGAAGGAAGTTTGGACGGAAGTTAGGATGTAAACAGAGAATCAGTAGGGCTGGGGTTTGCTACAGGATCCAAGAGATCAGTTACACATTTTTTTGAAAAGCAGAGTCTGCATCTCTGGGGAGGGAGGCAAGGAGGAAGTGGTGTGTTCAAAGCAGAGATTCAGCAGTCAGGGATGGCACAGCACATGGGGCGGGGGCAGGTGGAGATGACACAGGTGGGGCGATAGCAATTGGTGCAGCAGGAGACCTGGCCACAGACTGGGCGGAGGCAGCAGCAGGGGCAGCAGGAGGGCCGGCAGCAGCTGGAGCCACAGCAGCTGGAGCCACAGCAAGAGGGGCGGCAGCAGCTGGAGATGCAACAGGAAGGACGACAGCAGCTGGAGCCACAGCAGCTAGAGCCACAGCAAGAGGGGCGGCAGCAGCTAGAAATGCAGCAGCTGGGGCGGCAGCAGGTGGTCTGGCAGCAGCCTTGGCCACAGCCCTGGTCAGAGCAGACGGAGCCACAACAGGACATGGTGTTGGAGGGTGGAGGTTCTGGGTGAGTTTCCAGGAGAGTGAGGTTCTTGAGTGAGATCTCTCCTTGCCCTCTGTTGCTTTTATACCCTGCTGAGGGCTGCGGTGACCATGTGCAGGCCCCTTCTGGTTCTTGTTTATCCTCGTTGAAAATCAGTTAGTTTTAGTAAATTAGATAATTGTGTTTATCTGGTAAATGTTCCTATTTATAGGAACGGCACCATTTCCTTTTCCTGTAGTATAATGAGCTGTCCAGTTTGGTTAATGCAGGTGAATCAGCGCCCATATTTCTCTGTCCCATGTGTTTTCTCAAGTAGACCCATTACATGACACCACTTCATTGGATTTTGCAAGAGTTAATTTTTCATTTCCCTATTTGACTCCAGAATAATATGTTTTAATGGGTTTATGGTGCTAAATCTCTGCTGTCAAAGAGTAACTCATATCAGGTACTGGTAGTAACGTAGGTGGAGGACCCATCTTGGAAAGGGGGGGCAGTTACTTGTCTGCAATTAAGAATACTGTGATTCCTGTGCATTTCCCGGATTGTCAGTGAGGTATGAAGGATCGAAGCAAAGTTCCTATCTGTTTTTTCTTATTGAATCTGTTTGATTTAAAACAGTTTGAAAATATGGCAGACCACCTCTCACCTGTTAGATTGTCAAAAATTCAAAATTTGACAACATTCTCTGATAGTGAGATTATGTAAAAACAGGCACACTTCCACTTTTCTCAGGAAGATTTGACAATAGCCAGCAGCTCCAGGCCATATCCATCTTCAATCCCGGGACCTGGTGCCTCATTGGAATTATGAGGCCCAGTTCAGTTGAGCGACATCAGCCCCACTCCATGTGCCCTAACGGTCCACACAAAAGGAGGGTCTGCATCTGTGAGGACAGAGGTAAATGGAGACGGTGGTTACAGAGCAAGGGGCTCAACAGCCAGAGGAGGCACAGCTCAGGGGGTGGGGCAGGTGGAGATGACACAGGTGGGGCAATAGCAAGTGGTGCAGCAGGAGACCTGGCCACAGACTGAGTGGAGGCAGCAGTAGGGGCAACAGCAGGGGGGACAGCGGCTGAAGCCACAGCAGGAGGGGTGGCAGCAGGTGGTCCTGCAGCAGGTGGTCTGGCAGCAGCCTTGGCCACAGCCCTGGTCAGAGCAGCCAGAGCCACACAGGAGCTGACCATGGTGTCAGAGGAGGAGGCTTTGATATTGGTAGGAGAGTGAGCTGAGCAAATTTGAAGTCCCTCTGCTGTATGTCCTCTTTCATACTATGCCGAGGTGCTGTGTCCAGGTCCTGGACCATTTTCTAGTTTATTTTTCTAAATAAATATTAGTCTAAAATTAGAGCATCATGTTTTTCTGGTTAAAGATTTTTAAGATGAAGAAAAATACGATTTCTTTTTTCTGATGTGTTAAGATTTTCCAATCTGGTCTTTCTCAGAATCGTCTTTCCTACTTTCTTGTTGGTCAAGAAGGGCCATCACATGATTCAGGCACCTGTGATCTGTATATCATTCCATGATGCTGTTTGGATCAATTATTCTCATTATGCCGAGATCTCTTTGATGTTAAAAGAGAGGCAGAATTACAGTAGGGAATAGAAAGAAAAAGGCTCACCTTTGTGAGTTACCTGTGTGCAATGAGGAAGACAGAACCTATCTGTGAGACATAGATGCTCATTAGATAGTGGACTCTCTGGCTGCCCCAAAATATGTACCAAGTACTACTTCCTGCATTCAATTGGAAACCGTTGCCAATGACTCATGGTTTTTAAATATTAAAAGATACTCTCACTCAATATGGAGCAGTATAAGCACCAAAATGAATAATGGCAGTAATGGATTTTAACTCGTTAAATAAAATAAAAATCTATGACTCCATAGTGAGACTAATTAAATAAAAAATATTTTTTAAAAGGAAGATGAGACAACTATCTATGACAGTAGAATATCAACTAATAAATGTAGAATAAAAACAGAGTTACCAAATCATCATTTACAACCCTCATAATAAAGCTTGATTCCAGTAAATATTATCAATGGATGCTATAACTGTTGGGTAAAAGTTTGACAGGTAATAGGCTATTTGCACACTTTCAAAATAGTTCTCCATCGATTATTTATTAATTTCAAAGGAAGACATACTAGCTGTTCTGTGGAGAAACTTGAGAGCATAACCTTCAGCATGGGATCAACGTTAGCATTGTTAATATGGCACAAACTGACAGTGTCATTTAGATGTTAGACATATGTTAGGTAATAGTAAGGTGTCAACATTTAATTTGCTAACTGTACTGTGGTTATGCAAGAAAATGTTCTTAGTCTTAGGATATAAATCTATCTGTATCTAAAGCAGATCATTATCTGTCTGTCTACTTACCTGCCTACTCATCTCTCTCTATAGGAGAGAAACAAAATGTGGCAAAAGGTTGTTGAATCAGGGTAAAGGCTAATGGTATGAAAGAGTTATTTGGCACAGCTCTGTATATTTGAAAAATTTCAAAAATAAAAAGTTAAAAAATATCAAAGGGGATTGGGATTGAAAATGTTTTTTTTCTGCAGTATTAGTGTATTAAAAATAAGTACTCTGTGTCTTTGGGGGGAAATATGAAAGTATTTGATACAGTTTACTTTTTAGGAGCCTCTACTCCAAGATCCCTTTCTTATATAGGGTGTCCCAAAATTCACGCAAGAAGTAATTTTGATAGAAAACACAGGTTTATAATTAAAAATTGTACATATCTTATTGATTCATAAAGTATACAGTATAGAGTTGTGTATAAAATATCACATCGGGTAAATGGCCTCCAAAGCCGTGGTCTTCATTGGTCTTCATTGTCCCTGCTCCTGGGCCACAATTGGTACTTGGTAATGCTTATCAAATTGAAGGGATTGAAATCAAAGGGCAACAGATATTTGAATCTGATTCAATAAACCAAGTAAAATTAGGCTTTTATTTTTTGTTGTTGTTGTTGTTAATGCTCACGCAAAATTCAAATCTTGCGTGAATTTTGGGACACCCTATATTTCTAAACAGTGCAGTAAACTTTCTTCTTCTTGGGTCCCTGATCATATAGGACTTCTGGCAGCGTGGCTGAATAAGCTGCTATGGACAGGTCTACTTTCTGGTACAAGTGAATAGAAATGCTTTAAAAATATTTTTAAAATATTTCAGTTACATAGCTGAACTTAAAGAGAAGAAAGGTTCTCACTTTCCAGATACAAAAAGGGAACTCACACTGCAAAGAGTAGCTGATGTCCTATGGCCTTTGGAGGATTAGGATCTAGTTACAGGCTCTCAGAATTGGGGGCTGGTAGTCCAAACCCAGGATGATGCCAGAAATGCTACCTCAGGCTGTCACAAGACCAGATTCAGAATAAAGTTTGCATTCTTCCCTTGTAAGTAAGATGGAGACAAGAAAAACTTAGTCCGCCCACAAGGGATTATAAGTGGTAATCAAGGCTCCCATGAACATCTCAACCACGGAAACGTCACCAAGCTTTCTGTTTTACACTATATGCATAGTGAGGAACCTCAAGGAGAAGAACTGACTATTGCAAAATAGTGAGTGTCCTTGGACTCATCAGAAACACAAGTAAAAATCACAGCACACAGAAATTACCCCCATAAAAGTACAACTTGAAAAAGCATTAACCACAGAACAGATAACCCTCTAAGAAACCATGCAGAGACTGTATGTAATGTCCATAGGGGAGATGTTATGAAATACACAGAAAATAACCCAACCTAAGTAGCACAGTAGATGCAGGAAAAGGAAGTATAACCTCCAAGAATTTAGATAATTGAAGATCTGAAGGAGACTGTACATTAGGGATCAAAAAGGGTCTTGAATCTGTGGCTTGAAGTGTTTCAACGGTTTTGTCAAATTGCCCATCACTGTCTCTTCATTCAGAGCTTCTGCCCTGTTCTCTCTTCCTGGGACCATGGCTTACACATAGCTCAGACCTTTCCCTTGTACTCCACTGTCTCATGTTCTTGTCTGTACCTTTTACCTTTTCTCTCTGTACTTCAGTGTGGATATTTTCTGCTTCCAGTTTGTTCTTTCTCTCTTCTCTTCTGTCTGACCTGCTCAATCTAGTCTATTCCGTCTAATCATTTATTGAATTCTGAATTTCAGTTTTTGAGTTTTTTAGTTCTAGGATTTCCACTGGACTTTCATTTATCTTATTTATTTATTTTTACAGATTCCAATTCTCTGATGAAATTTATTATTTTTATTATTTCAAACGTATTAATCATAGTTACCCTAAATGTAGTTTTTAACACCTATATAAGTATCACCTTTGAATCTATTTCTATTATCTTTTCTTTGCCTTTTGCCCTGTTTTTAGTCATTTAGTCCTTTATGTTCTGGCAAATCTGGTAATTTTTCAAATTGAATGCCAGACATTGAACATGAAACACTTCAGAGGCTTAACATGATTTATCTCCCACCGGAAATGATTTCATTGACTTAGACCTTGGGCTCTCAATCCTGCCTACATAAGGTCAGTTTCCAATGCTTTAGAACAATTGTTTCTCAATTTTCTCCAATTCTCATAGTTAGTTTCATTGAGCGATTTGTATGATACTAGCTGCTTTGTGTTAGCTGGACATGGAATCCTGTCCTTTAACTTTTCTAGTGGCCGCTGTCTTTTGAACCCTGCATGCTGCTAGTTGTCTTCTCACTTCTCTGGCTAGTCCTTTCTGATTCCTTGTGGTTGCTGTCGCTCCGTTTTCAATTTGCAAATGTTGGTGTTTCTTGCAGCTCAGGTCATATTCATCTTCTCTTCACTTAACTTCCTGTGACCCAGGGCACCCCCTACAGGCCCATGTCATTAGAAACCACGTTAGACTGTAATCTCCTCTCGCAGCCTTTCAGAGGGCCTCCTGCCTCCCCGTGCTCATGTCCTTGTGTAATCCCCTCCCCTTCAGTGCGAGCTGGATACCGTGACTCACTTCGAATGAATAAATGGAATAGAGAAGTAGGAAGAGTAAGTAATTTTCAAGATTAGGTTATTATAAGAAGACTGTGGCTTTCATCTTGGGTTTTCCTTCTACTGCTCTGGCTTTCTGAGATCCCTCTCACTCTGGGGGAAGCCAGCTGCCATGTTGTGTGAGCAGCCCACATGGGGAAGAACTGAATCCTCTTGCCAACAGCTGTGTGAGTGAGCTTGGAAATGGGTTTTCCTCTGTTCATATGAATGCAGCCCTGGCTGGAAACTTGCCTGCAAGCTCATGAGAGACCCCAACACGCCACTGCTGAATTTCTAACCCTCCGGAAGTGTGTGAGATAATAAATGTTTGTGCTGTTAAACTGCTAAATTTTAACTGATGCTAAATAACTAATACACATACCAATTTCATACATGTGAAATTCCCCTAGATTTTCCATGAAGACAGATTATCTGCAAAAAATGTCCTTTTTGTTTGTTTGTTTGTTTTCTTTTCAATTTTTTCCACTTCTTTACATCTTTCTGGGGAAAAATGTACTGATACAGCACCTCCCCCCCAAACACACACACACACACACACACAACAAACAACAACAACAAAAAAACCCACACACAACAACCAAAAAATGTTTATGCTGAAACCAACTGAAGGTACAACCAATTCTCATTTGCCATCTCTGGTCTATTAGGAGTTCTGTGCCTTGAGTAGGGTTGGAGAGTAATGCCCCTACACAAGTTAAATTATTTTTTCATTATCTTTATTACCCATGTGTAGAATTTATGGAAGTCAAGCATATTCATGATTCAACACCACTATATTACTTATTAATCCTACAACTCCTAGAATATGCATTTCACACAAAGCTTTCTAAATATTTCTCCTACTTTCACTAGCATGTATTCCTCTGATACTTATTTTTACCTTATTTTTCCTAGGATAGTGTTCATAGGAATTTGGGAGTCTTCCAGGTTTACCTAAGAACCAAACTAGTCTATTAATTGGTTTCTTGTCAGTCCTCACATTCCCCATAGAATTTGTTACCAAAGTGCTCCAGGCCATACTGTCAAATCCACATCCCAGAAAAGCCAAGCAGATCGGAAAATATTAAAATTTGAGTGTTTTCCATTTTCTGCTATCCCCCAACTTCTCAGGAAGGTTGATTTTTTCCAAAAGAGAACTATTTTGTTGTTAATGGGTGGAGCTGAAATTAGAGAAGCTGAGAATGTAATAAATTGGGTTACATGAGAAATGTATAAGCCTTGAGGATGGCTCTCTGGTTTTCCAAGAAAAAGATACAAGGGTAAAATGATGGATGTGGGGAGGGGAAGGGGGAAGGAGAGAGAGAGAGAGAGAGAGAGAGAGAGAGAGAGAGAGAGAGAGAGAAGGAGAATGAAGGCAACTAAGAGAGGAGTGGAAAGATACGCTCTTAAAAGTCTTTAAGAAAGGTTTGCTGTGGGATATAACCCCACACATTTTAAATAAAAATCTTTATTATTCTTTAATGCTTTTGGAGTCATCTATGTATTGTTATTATTTCTGGGCTTGTTTGTTTGCTTTTAATGTTAATACATGTTAGGGTTTTCCTGAAGGTGAGAACAAGAATTACAAAACCTAATTCAGTTGTGTGTTGGATATAATTTCCCTGGAAATGAGGACAATCATTTCAATTTTTTTCATTTCTTTATATTTTTCTGGGGGAAAAAATGTACTGATATAGCCCCCCCCCCCAAACACACACACACCCAAACACACACACACACACACACACAACAAACAACAACAACAAAAAAACCCGCCCCCAACAACCAAAAAATGTTTATGCTGAAACCAACTGAAGGTACAACCAATTCTCATTTGCCATCTCTGGTCTATCAGGAGTTCTGTGCCTTCAGTGGCACAGAAGAGACACAAGACACAAGAACAATGTATTTCTAAGCCAGGAAAATAGAGCTTTATTCAGAAGCAACAAAAAGATACTGAATCATCCCTCTTAAAGGAAATACAAGATAGGGCCCTCTAAGGTGTTCAGATCTGAGGTTGTGACATCAGTGGCCCTACAGGCCCTGCAGGGATTTCCATATTTTGGACAGGATGACCAGGAACCCAGAAATCAAAAGATCAGATACAGAATGTGCATAAATATAATAATCGCTTATTATAAATGCCACCTAATTTCATACTCTGGATCCACATCAGAGAAAAGTCAGCTAAAGAGAGAGTTTGGCCTGAGGCCAGGATATGGACACAGAGTTGAAGGGAATGGGCAGTCCTAAGGCATCTCTGAGGTGCACAGGGTCTGCTTCTTTGATGAGCAAGATGCAGGAGAGAGAGTGGGTTCAGGGAAGGTGCTCAGCAGTCAGGGATGGCACAGCACATGGGGCGGGGGCAGGTGGAGATGACACAGGTGGGGCGATAGCAGTTGGTGGGGCAGGAGACCTGGCCACAGACTGGGCGGAGGCAGCAGCAGGGGCAGCAGGAGGGCCGGCAGCAGCTGGAGCCACAGCAGCTGGAGCCACAGCAAGAGGGGCGGCAGCAGCTGGAGATGCAACAGGAGGGGCGACAGCAGCTGGAGCCACAGCAGCTAGAACCACAGCAGGAGGGGCGGCAGCAGCTGGAGATGCAACAGGAAGGACGACAGCAGCTGGAGCCACAGCAGCTAGAACCACAGCAGGAGGGGCGGCAGCAGCTGGAGATGCAACAGGAAGGACGACAGCAGCTGGAGCCACAGCAGCTAGAACCACAGCAGGAGGGGCGGCAGCAGCTGGAGATGCAACAGGAAGGACGACAGCAGCTGGAGCCACAGCAGCTAGAACCACAGCAGGAGGGGCGGCAGCAGCTGGAGATGCAACAGGAAGGACGACAGCAGCTGGAGCCACAGCAGCTAGAACCACAGCAGGAGGGGCGGCAGCAGCTGGAGATGCAACAGGAAGGACGACAGCAGCTGGAGCCACAGCAGCTAGAACCACAGCAGGAGGGGCGGCAGCAGCTGGAGATGCAACAGGAAGGACGACAGCAGCTGGAGCCACAGCAGCTAGAACCACAGCAGGAGGGGCGGCAGCAGCTGGAGATGCAACAGGAAGGACGACAGCAGCTGGAGCCACAGCAGCTAGAACCACAGCAGGAGGGGCGGCAGCAGCTGGAGATGCAACAGGAAGGACGACAGCAGCTGGAGCCACAGCAGCTAGAACCACAGCAGGAGGGGCGGCAGCAGCTGGAGATGCAACAGGAAGGACGACAGCAGCTGGAGCCACAGCAGCTAGAGCCACAGCAAGAGGGGCGGCAGCAGCTAGAAATGCAGCAGCTGGGGCGGCAGCAGGTGGTCTGGCAGCAGCCTTGGCCACAGCCCTGGTCAGAGCAGACGGAGCCACAACAGGACATGGTGTTGGAGGGTGGAGGTTCTGGGTGGGTTTCCAGGAGAGTGAGGTTCTTGAGTTTGGATGTCTTCTTACCACATGTCCCCTTTTATACCCAGCTGAGGGACTTCTGTGATTATGAAAATACTATTTCCTTGTTTTTGTTTATATGACTACAAATGCATTTAGTAAATTATATCATTGCACTTTTCTAGTAAAAGCTTTCATTATATAGAACACAGTTATTTCCCTTTTATCAAGTTCCCCAGTGTTCCCACATGAATCACCTTTGGTGTTTTTCCCTTGTTTGCAGTGTCATAAGATTTCACTCCCTGGGTATCATGTGACACAGGTGAGCCACTATCTCTTGTCTGTTCCTCGCCTTGACATAATTGTGGGAGCGCTTCTGATGGGGCTAGGTTTTCTGGTGGAAAATGTTGTGTTTCGATCAGATGGAATGCTGATAGGAAAGAAGGAAGTGAGCTCATTTTTTTGAGTTTGAGAAATAAGGAAACTTATGATTCATTGTGTTTTCTGGGTGTCCATGGAGCTAATAAAATTACTAGGACATTCCAAGCTGTGTTATTTTTCATCACCCTGATGCACTTTGAAACAGTTAGCAGTGACTCAGTGTTTTTAAATAGCAAAGAGTCAACTGGTATTGATCACTTTTGATCGTCATAAATCTCCTCTCAGGTCGGGTAGAGTAATTGGGACAAAATTTTTTTTATCGGCCTTTCAAAATATCATGATATATCATGGTTATGCTTTATGGACGTTTTCTTAAAATCTTTTTAAAACATGCTGACCTAAAAAATCTAGTAGTTTTTGTAGTATCACTTATATTTAAGATTTTCTTAGATAAATTAAGAAGACTATAAATGCCATATTCATCATTATACATGCATGTACACAGAAATTGCATCCATAAATGGTTTTGTAACCAATGCCTATATGATTATAGTCATAATAAGAGGTCTTCTTCAGTGCCACAGGCATTCAGGAAAAAACTAATTCGAGGAAAGAACAAATTACCCTCATGATATTCCCTCTTCCTGCAAAGTCTCTTGTGAGCTCAGCATTCTCCTAGTTATCTTTTATTGGGAAGTTCAAATGCCATCTTCCTCCATTGTCTTTCTTGGCCAATGCAGAGCAAAGTTCTTCCTTCATTGACCTTCTGTTGTGCTTTGTGTATGTGTGGGTTCTATAGCATTCTCTGCCAGAAATGTATGTATATAGCTAGCTCTCTCTAGAATGTCAACTCCATTAGGGCAGTATTTTACCCATCTTTTTATCCCGCAGGCTTGAAATAGAACACATTTTTGATAAAGGAGTATTTTTTTTAGTAAGTGAAGAGTTTGTCTAGGCCATAAAAAATGACACACTGATGTTGAGAACATGTTATTTACATATATAGACAGAAAAAGGATTCAAAAGAGAAACAAATGAGAGTAGGCATAACTCTGGCTCGTGATGATGAGAGTGGTATATCTAGAAGGTCTATTTTAATAAATAGTGAGAGATATGGTGAGGTTGCTAGAATGTGGGAAGGATTGTGATATAGCCTTGAATTCCACAAGAAATTGTGAGGATCTATTAAAAGCCTTTAGGCAAGAAGTAATATAATATATTTATTATATGTGATTTATTTTAATTTTTTATCTGCCTTTAGAAATGCCAAAATACACTTGGATTTCTGGGGAGAGATGTTGCTTAAAAGTTTTAAGTGGGGCAGGGTGGGCGGTGTGTTCACAGCATCAGGTGATAAAATGAGTATAATAGTTATTTCAAAGAAAGAATCAGAAGAGAATTGGGCCAAATTGAAAATGGAGATATAAGGAGGGTTTTTCAGAAAAGTTATAAAAGATACCTTAACTTAACTATTTATTTATATGTTTTGTGACTAGCTATGTGTATAATTTATGACACCTACTTCCTAAAAGCCCACAATTAAAAATTTTAAAGGATAAATAAACGGTGCTCTAAATGTCCACCAACCAGATGCTCTCTGAACAGCATTCTTCTGGGTTTTTCTGGAGGCTTCATACTGATAACCAGGATGCGGAGCCAAGGTTTTTTTTTTCTCTGGGGTAATGTCTTATGAAGCCAATTAAATTGCAGACCAGAATATTGAAGCAAAAGTGTGGAAAATTTATTACAAAGCAGATTCAGACTTCCCGCATGGGGAGGGGGCCCAATAATGGGTTTCCCATGAAGCTTTGTGGTCTAGGAGTATATATTGGCTACAGGCCTGATGTGTATCTATCCGTGTCCTCACCTGATTGATTCCCTCAAATATTCTTGCCCAGCAACAGACCTGAACTTTCCCTGTTTCTATGCGTCAGTTCAACTTATTGTTGCAGACCCTCCCTAGTTTCACACGTCTCCCGCTTTGAGTCTAGAAACATTTTATTTTTCTGCATGGTTGGTTCCTGTGATTAGGCTTTGCTCAAACTGCCGTGTCTGCCCCTGCCTATGTTCCACCTGCCTTTGTTTCCCACTGGACCCCTGCCCTGTCTGCCTGCGTGTCAAGCTAACCCTCTCACTAACACCCTAACACTCAACTTATGTTGGGGTGAAGCCCATTTTATATCAACCTCTATATGGCTTGTTTCTTGACACCTTAGAACTTTCAAAAATTTTTTTAGAAATAACAATCAGCTCTTAGTTACATTTATTTTTTGGAAATATAACCCAGCTAATATATAAAACTCTGATATACACAAATTTTGAATTTAAAATGTTTTTAATGTACTTCAGATTATGAACCAAAAGTTATAGACCCTTATATTAGTACTAGAGGCCCGATGCACAAAATTCATGCAAGGGGCTTGGCCCTCGCAGCCCCAGCTTCATCCGGACGGTCCTTCTGCTGTTCGGTCTAAGTAGTATATTAGCTCTTTATTATATAGGATAAAAATGATATTATTGTATATATATTGTGAGATGTTTTTGCAGCTAAGGAGGATCATTCTCACCTGAGTTTTGGTGACAAGAAAACTGAGTCTCAAAGAAATACCCTGCACATGTGCTCTTACGTAAGACCGAGCAAGGTGACAAAAGCCGAAAACAGGAGAGTAAAACCATCAGGAAGATAGGAAACTTCAGTAACGTGAGAGGCTAAAATCATGAAGGAGTTTCCGTTTTAAAATACTAAAATTTTAGGACATGCTGAGAGAAAGGAATGGAGAGAGCAAGAGCGAGAGAGAGAAACATAGATATGAGAGAGAAACATCAATCAACTACCCCCTCATCAAACCTGCAACCCAGGTATGTGCCCTGATTGGGAAATGGACAGGCAACCCTGTTCATTTGGTTCATGGGACAGCAGCTCAACCAACTGAGCCACTTCAGCTGGGCTTGCACATCTATTAATAAACAGTTTTAAAAGCACAGGCTATGTGGCTCCAGTGGTTGAGCATCGACCCCTGAATCAAGAGGTCACTGGGATTCAATTCCCGGTCAGGGTGTGGGCCTGGGTTGTGGGTTCGATCCCCAGTAGGGCCGTGCAGGAGGCAGCCGATCAATGATTCTCTCTCAGTTTATGTTTTCTAGCTCTCTCTCTCTCTCTCTCTCTCTCTCTAAAATAAATAAATAAATATCAATAAAAAATATTTTTAAAAGTTTTAAAATTTTTATGGAGAAATTGCCATGGACTTTAATACACTTCCAGAAAGCTATATTTAGAAGGTACACTTAGTATTCTGAGATAAAGTTTATTATTTAAAGAGAAAATGAGAAAGGGGCAGAGGGAGGGAGGAAGAAGTACTCCAGCTAAGTGAAACACCCAAATTTATTAACACAACCAGTAATGGGACATACTGCAAGTAGAAATATAGTCCAATGAAATTTAGATGATGTCTGTATGATGTTCAGTTCACTGGAGTTTTTAAGGGACATTTGAGACATATGCCAATACTTAGAGTTCTAGAGGTCAGTGAAACAATTATACAAACTTTCTTTGTTGTTCTGTCAAAGAGAACATGATACTAAGGTAGTATTCTCAACCAGGGTTGTGTTTCAATAATAGTAACAATAAAAATGGTATTTACTGAGAGCTTACATCATGCTCCTCACCTCTGTGCTAAGTGTATTTATTACATGGATTATGTCTTTGAACCTTTGAAGAGCATAACGTATTACCCCCATTTCACAGAGAAAAAAACTGAGGCTTAAAGATATTAAGTAACTTTGCCTATGTCATGCAAGGAATGCCTAGTGGAATCTTGATGCCAAGATAAGTAACTGCTCCCAAACTTACTGCCCTGCATTTCATGCAACATTTCTTAGTGTGGAGTCATAAAGACACACATGTACACACACACATACACATCAAATTAACAAATCAGGAGATTTCGATATCAGGGAAAATGGCTGTTTATTAAGAACATATGGAGACAATGTTATATGAGATCATCACATACAGTATATACTTCGGACGAGACAGTGTTGGTTCAAAAATAGATGCATGTGGGCCTCGGTTAAAACCATTTGACAAATGTGTTTTCATTTATCATTTCCTGAAATTGAACACCAACTCTGAATGCCAAATCAGAAGAAGAGTTGGAAGCTAAGCGTTCATTCCCCAGTCACTGGCGGGCTCAACACATTTTAGGTGACTCGTGAGGATATCCATAGTGTGACAGATTATAGGCAAAGATTCAGCAGTCAGGGATGGCACAGCACATGGGGCGGGGGCAGGTGGAGATGACACAGGTGGGGCGATAGCAGTTGGTGGGGCAGGAGACCTGGCCACAGACTGGGCGGAGGCAGCAGCAGGGGCAGCAGGAGGGCCGGCAGCAGCTGGAGCCACAGCAGCTGGAGCCACAGCAAGAGGGACGGCAGCAGCTAGAGATGCAACAGGTGGGGCGGCAGCAGCTGGAGCCACAGCAGCTAGAACAGCAGCAGGAGGGGCGGCAGCAGCTGGAGCCACAGCAGTTGGAACCACAGCAAGAGGGGCGGCAGCAGCTGGAGATGCAACAGGGGCGGCAGCAGGGGCGGCAGCAGCTGGAGCCACAGCAGCTAGAACCACAGCAGGAGGGGCGGCAGCAGCTAGAAATGCAGCAGCTGGGGCGGCAGCAGCAGGAACCACAGCAGCTGGGGCGGCAGCAGGTGGTCTGGCAGCAGCCTTGGCCACAGCCCTGGTCAGAGCAGACAGAGCCACAACAGGACATGGTGTTGGAGGGTGGAGGTTCTGGGTGGGTTTCCAGGAGAGTGAGGTTCTTGAGTTTGGGGGTCTCCTTGTGGCAAGGCCTCTTATATACTGTCTGAACAGGGTGAGCTGTCCACATGTTTCCTTGTTTTTATTTACCTAATGTTTGAGTAATTATCAGATTACACATTAATGTTTATCTGTCTAATGGTTTAAACTTAATGGAAACAACATTTTCCTTTCCAGATATGCTAAGTGCTGTCTGATTTGCTTTTCCTCTGAGTCATACCTGTGGGCATCTTCTAGACCACACTCTCCTCCATTTAGCATTTGGGATTACATTCCTTACTCTCCCCTCGGTATCCCCTCAGGATGGGATCTGGGCAGACATATTCCTGGTTGTGCATTTCTTCCAGTGACTAATGTGGAGGAAATTCCATCCGCATAGTGTGGCATCAGGCAGGCATGGGACAAGAGGAAAATGACCCCTCGGGGTCATTTGTGAGCAATGAGGAAGGGGACCTCTGTACGTGTGTGATGTTGGTGGCCTCTATGCCACTGGAATGGGTTTCCTTAGGTGTTTCAAACTTTGGATCATGTTCTGTATCCTAAACTGTGGCAGACAATTTATCTACATGGCTCTGGTTACTACAACATCCCACAGTTTATTACGTTGTTACTTTGCTGTCATATATGTTTGCAGTATCTCTCTCCAGCTGGTCTCTTTGTTAAAGTTTAATTTATATATTTGGCACAGTAAGAGATAAACAAACATAGCTAAGAATAAAATAGAACAGTTATAAGACTACCCTATATAACAGTGATGGCGAACCTTTTGAGCTCGGCGTGTCAGCATTTTGAAAAACCCTAACTTAACTCTGGTGCTGTGTCACATATAGAAATTTTTTGATATTTGCAACCATAGTAAAACAAAGACTTATATTTTTGATATTTATTCTATATATTTAAATGCCATTTAACAAAGAAAAATCGACCAAAAAAATGAGTTCGCGTGTCACCTCTGACACGCATGTCATAGGTTCGCCATCACTGCTATATAATAAAGAGGTAATATGCAAATTGACCCTCACACCCTCACAAAGATGGCTGACTACAACCAGGCTGGCAGGGGGGTTAGTGAGGGACGACCAAACGACTAAACAGCAGGCTGCATGGGGCGATCAAGCCAGCAGGGGCTGGAAGTTGGGGGTGACCAGACCAGCAGGAGGGGTAATTGGGGGAGACCAGGCTGGCGGGGGAGGCAGTTAGGGGTGACCAGGCTGGCAGAGGGGGACAGTTGGGGGTGACCAGGCTGGCAGGGGGTGCAGTAAGAGGCGACCAGGTTGGCAGGGGGGCAGTTGGGGGCGATTACGCTGGCAGGGGGGCAGTTGGGGGTGACCGGGCTGGCATGGGGGGCAGTAAGGGGTGACCAGGCCATCAGGGAGGGGGCAGTTGGGGCGACCTGGCTGGCAGCGGGGGGCAGATGGAGGTGACCGGGCTGGCAGGGAGGGGGCAGTTGGGGCAACCTGGCTGGCAGCAGGGGGGCAGTTAGGGGTGACCAGGCCGTCAGTGGGGGGAAGTTAGGGGCAATCAGGTTGGCACGTAGAGGCAGTGAGGGGCGATTAGGCCGGCAGGGTGGGGCAGTTAGGGGTGACCAGGCAGGCCAGCAGGTGAGCGACTAGGAGCCAGCGGTCCAGGATTGTAAGAAGGATGTCCCCCAAGGACATCCTTGGAGAGGGTGCAGGCTGGGCTGAGGGGACCCCCCGCCCCATGCATGAATTTCATGCACCAGGCCTCTAGTGCTGTAATAAAAGTTATGTGAATGTGGTCTCTCAACCAATTAATACAAAATTCTTTTTCCTTCATCACAATTTATGGATAGAAGATCCATTCTTTTTTTAAAAAAAATATTTTTATGAATTTCAGAGAGGAAGGGAGTGGGGGAGAGAGATAGAAACATCAATGATGAGAGAGAATCATTGATCGGCTGCCTCCTGTACGTCCCCTACTGGAGATTGAGCCACAACCTGGGCATGTGCCCTAGACAGGAAGGTGCCCTTGACCAGAATTGAACCCGGGACCCTTCAGTGAGCTGGCCAGTTAGGGGTGACCTATCCATTGAGCAAACTGGCTAGGCCAGAAGATCCATTCTTACTGTAGAAATTAGCAGCCTCAGCATATGCTTTTAAAAAAATACTTTCTTATTAAGAACTTTCTCTTAAAAGGAGCGCTTTAGGGCTTCTCTTTGGCATATTTGAATTACCAGCGTCACTATTCTTACACTTTGGGGCACAGGTCACGATGACCAGCAGCAGTAAATAAGGAACACAAGCACTGCAACACCAGGAGAGTTGATCTGACCATTGAGACAACTACTAAGTGACTGATGGTGGGTAGCATGTACAGTACGGATTTACTGCACAAAGGGATGATTCACAACCTGGGTGGGATGGAACAGGACAGCACCAGATTTCACCATGGCTGCTCAGAATGGCGTGCAATTTAAAACTATGAATTGTACATTTTTTTAATTTTCCATTTACTATTTTCAGACCATGGGTGACTGTGGGTAACTAAAACTACAGAAAGCAAAATCTCAGATTCACGGGGGGACTTCTGTATACTGAAAAGTGTATAAAACATACAAGTATAATATAATAAATAATTATGAAGCACGCATCTATCTATCTCAACACCCAGGTCAAGAAATAGGACATTGCTGTCACCAAGAGGGACCTGGATGTGTCTTCTCTTGACCACATTGCTCTCCTTCCCCCCTGATTCTTATTGTCCTGATTCTTAAAGTAATCTTTTCACTGATGTGCTTTACAGTTTTACCACCTAAGTATGCATCCTAAGCAATATAGTTTAGTTTTACATGTTTTTGAATTTTATATAAGTGGAATCTTCATATGTGTATTGTGTGTTTTTATTCTCTCTCTCAGTATTATGTAAGAGTTATGATAGGCAGCCCCTTAGGTGGCCCAGTGATTTCTACCTCTTGGTGTATCATGGTCTTACATATTTCCCTCCTTGTGAGAAAATTGCTTCTAATCAACATCAAGTGACTAAGTTACAAAAGATGGTGACTAGCCAGATTTCTCTCCCTCACTGGCTCTGAAGGAAGTAAGCGGCCGGGTGGGAGAGATGTGGCAAAGCACTGAGAACAGTCTCTACTGACAACCAGAGGGAACTGCGGCTCTGACTCTAATGGCCCTCAAGGAACTGAATCCTGTCACCAACCACGTAAGTGAACTTGGAACTGGATTCCTGCCAAGTCAAGACTTTAGATGGGACCCAGTGCCAGCTAACACCTCGATTGCAGAGTTGTGCAAGTGGATGAAATGGAGGGGTCAGCTGAGCTACATCTGGATGCTTGACCCACAATATAAATGATTTAATGAGATTACTCCTGTAGACAACTGGGGTGCAATCCCACTGAGGCCCTCTGGAAACTGGAACAGCATGCCCCCACTGGAGAAAAAAAAGCTACAGCATTGACCAAACACTCCCGTCCACTGGTTGAACAATGTTCCCAGAGCCCTTAACTCTGACTTGTGGCCTGCCCAGAGCTTGCTTCTTCATCTGCAGGAAGTTCTCAGACAGACAGAGAGTTCTAGGTGCTTGCTGTAGGAAACCATCTTCCTATAATAGAGTGAGGATGATGTGGGACTAAAGTTAGATATCCTGAAATCACCTGCGATAGCCTGCGCTCTGCAAAGAACAGCAGAAGAGCGGACAGATAAGAATGCTGATTCAAGAAGGAAAAATGAGACATAATACTCTTGTATTTGTATGCTTGGGAAATGAAGATTTATTTAAGATTTGGGGACATCTTCATATGAGAAAATGTGGTAAGGAAGAAATATATCAATTGCGATGACATAGTCATTGAAGAATTTCAGAGAAAATTCAAGCTTTCTATTCATTTGGGAGAGAGAGAGTAACATATGGGGGGGCATTATATTTGGAGGCCACAATCAGTTAAAGAATCAGTTGAAACTGAGTTTTGACAATTGGACTCTCATGACTCAGTTCAGTTTGGACTACATCAAGAAGATCGGTTGGTGAAAACCAGGTGGACACAGGTCACGATGATCAGCAGCAGGAACCGCTAGAGCAGACTGGGCGGCAGCAGGTGGTCTGGCAGCAGATGGGGCGGCAGCAGGTGGTCTGGCAGCAGCCTTGGCCACAGCCCTGGTCAGAGCAGACGGATCCACAACAGGAGTTGACCATGGTGTCAGAGGGTGGAGGTTCGGAGTGAGTTTTCAGGAAGGTGGGTTGGAAGGTTTGGAAGTCTGCTTGCCCCAGGTCCCCTTTTATACCCTGCTAAGGGCTGCTGTCATCAGAAGCTGTGCTCTTTCCTTGTCCTGTTGGTCCTAATTAACAGGTGATTAGGAAATTAGCCAGGTTTGTTTTCCTGGCTGACCTTTTCAAGATGGATGGAAAATATTGTTTCCTTTTCCTGATGGGTTAGGATTCCTCACTTCAGCTCTTCCTGGATCATCTGTTATGTGTCTTTCTTGCTTCATCTTCCTTAAAGAAAGCTGTCATGTGATTTATGCATTTAGATCATGTATGTGTGTCTCATGTTGCACAGCCCAACATGTCTCCCTTTGGGTGATAATAAGCCACATTCCTTTTGGTGACTTAGGGGGATACAGCTGCATTCTAGTTTGATGTCTCATTCATTGTGGGGTCAGGTGGGCAGAGAAGTGTTGAATGTGAATCAGGGCATCGCTGGAATGAGAATAGACTCTTAGGATATTTCCTCTCCCTCCTGTGAATTGTGGCCCATTTTCTAGACTTTCTGATGAGAAACAAATAACTGGTTTTGGAGGAAAAACTAAGTCATCTAATTTTGATGTTTATTCTTTGTCTTCAGCTTTATTAAGGTATGTGTAATATACAAAAACAATTACACGTCTAATGTATACATTCTGATGAGTTTGGACTTATGTATGCACCATAATACCATTTCCAAAATTAAGGTAAAAGCCTATTCTTCACCCCTAAAGAGTTTTTCTGTCCCTTTGTTTTTTGTGTGTGTTAAAAACACTTAGTATGAGGTTTACCCTCTTAACAAGTGCATCATACTATTATTGTTAACTATAGGCACAACGTTGTACAGCAAGTTTCTAAAATTCATTCATCTTGTATATCTTTAACTCTGTACCCATTGAACAACAACAACCCACTTCCTCCTCCCCCAGGTCCTAAATTTCACCATTTTATTCTCTGCTTCTATGAATTTGACTATTTTAAATATCTCAACGAGTGGAGCATGCAGTATTTGTACTTCCGTGACTGACTGACTTCACTTAGCGTAATGTCTTTTGAGTCCATTTATGTTGTCACACATGGCAGAATTTATTTAAGGCTGAATAATATACACTTTCATCAATGTATCAGTGTTGGCATTCAGAGTTTAATGGCTACAGTGGTCACCAGTAAGTGTGGCTTATCTTGAAGTTAATATCTTGTACACATCTATGTCTTTTTCATTAGAAACTGCTCCAATCTTTCTTATAGATTTGCAGTAGGTAGAGTATAGACCAACAGTTCTCAAGCTCTTCTTCTACCTGATAGCAGGTATACTGATGATGGTACACCTCGGGAAAGGCGCTGAGAGGAAATATAATGTTAAGGTGTGTGGGTGGTTCAAATCAGTTCTTC